TTGTTTCTAATAAGAAATATGTTCTCAACCAGATATTTTTCCTCTGTACATGATGTGTCCTATTTCTCCCCTCTCTGGTAACTTTAAGACTTCTTCTCTTTATCATTAGTTTTCAGTAATTTGAGTATGGTGTGCTTTAGTGTGTGTGTGTGTGTGCGTGTGTGTTTAACCTGTTTAGGATTCACTAAACTTCTTGGATCTGTGGTTTATAGCTTTTATCAATTTTGGAAAAATTTCAGCCATTTAAAAATTTTTTTTTTCTGGTTCCCTTCCCAATTTTCTGGGAGTCCACATACACATTTGTTAAAGTGCTTGGTATTGTCTGCTAGTTTCATTATATCTGTCAATTCTGGTTCTGGGCTTTTGTTTGCTTTATTAAGATATAATTGACATACAATGTTATATTAGTTTCAGAAGTACAACATAGTGATTTGATATTTGTATACAGTCAGAAATGATCATCACAATAAGTCTAGTTAATATCCATCACTATACATAGTCACAGAATTTTTTTCTTGTGATGAGGACTTTTAAGATTAAAAAAAAGATTTACTTCTAGCAACTTTCAAATATACAATACAGTATTATTAACTATAATCACCATACTGTACATTACATCCCTATTTACTTATTTATTTATTTATTTAATAACTGGAAATTTGTACCTTTGATTCCTTCACCTATTTTACCTACCCCTCACCCCCAGCCTCTGGTAACCACCCATTTGTTCTCTGGATCTATGAGCTTGGTTATTTTTATTTGTTTGTGTTTTGTTTTGTTTTGTTTTGTTTTGTTTAGATTTTACATATAAGTAAGATTATAGGGCATTTGTCTTTTTCTGACTTACTTCACTTAGCACATAATGCCCTCAAGGTCCATCTATGTTGTCACAAATGGCAAGATTTCATTCTTTTTTTTCCTTTTTATGGCTGAATAATATTCCATTGTATGTATATGTTACATCTTCTTTATTGATTCTGTGTTAAAATTTTTTTTGCTTCATTATTGGTTACATTTTCTTGTTTCTTAACATATCTCTTAATTTTTTAATGGATGATGGACATTGTAAATTTAACATGTTCACTGCTGGATATAAATCTTCGATATTGTTCTTGCACACAGTTAAAATACTTGTAGATCAGTCTGTTCCTTTTGAGGCTTACTTTTTAAGCTTTGTTAGGGATAGACTAACCCTAGTACTATGGCACCATTTTTCTGAAATTTTTAATGAATACCTTTGATATTCAATGAGGGCTTTTCACTCTACTGACAGGGACTTGAATATTTTTAATACATGTGTGATCTCTGGAAATTGTTCAATTTACGGTATTTCTGGTATTTATTTGACAGGCCTTGAGTTTTCCCTTATGCATTTGTGACTTAGTATTAATCAGTAGATCCAAGGAGATACCTCTGCATATTTCTGGAGCTTTTCTCTACCATAGCTGCCTCTTCTCTGGTTGTCTGTCTTGCAAATTTTAGCACTTAAAGCCACCATGACCTCTGATCTTGTTTTCTTAACTCAATGGGACCACTGGTGTCAGCTTTTGTTGCTTCTCCTTCCCATGTGGTCCAGAAAGTGACTCCAGGCAGAAGGCTGAAGATATCATGGGGCCCATCTTGTTTGCTTTCCTTCTTCAGGGATCAAAATTCCCTACTATCTGTTTTCCAATGTCTGAAAACAAGTGCCTTCTGTATTCTGTTCAGTTTTCTGTTATTTTCAAAAATTTTGTGGGAATATGGTAAATTTTCAGTTATTCCATTATGGCTAAAAGCAGAAATCCAGTAACTTTTTTTTACATGCTATAAAACAAGAAATTCTCCCAAGATGTTTGTCAAGAAGGTAAGAGATGGAATACATTTACCTTCATTTACTGGATAATGTATTTTTAAAATTAAATGTGTATATTATAATATTTGAACAAAAATATAAACTTGTATAACACATAGATATGAATATATGAGCATATATTCACACTTATTTAATAGCTGCTTAAATTTTCCTTTATTTTTTGTCTTGAACTGTGTATACTTTTAAAATGAATTCTCTGGTCACTGTTCTCTGTACACAGTCAGCAGTACAACTGGTAACTGTCTTTGCAAACAGCAGCTTTTAAAATGTATCTACAGGGGCGCCTGGGTGGCTCAGTTGGTTAAGCGACTGCCTTCGGCTCAGGTCATGATCCTGGAGTCCCGGGATCGAGTCCCGCGTCGGGCTCCCTGC